GCAAATATACCGAGTCATACAGTATATAACAAATGCTTTGTGTCTTATCGGTCCAATAATGTCACTAATACATTGAATGTGCCAATAAACTCCTCCAGTCATAAACTGCTGAGAAACAGCGAGACCGTAAAACAAAATCTTAGACGAATTCTCAGATCGAAAACTGCAGCTTATTAGTCTTACTAGTAGAATTTAGTCCGAAAAGTTTCATTTTAGGAACTTTTGTTAATTTTTCTAACAACTATTGGGGTCAAATTGACATTCATTTTCATCCACAGTCGTGAGAAAATTCGAAGGAGCAGTATGAAATTTTTTTTCTCAAACCAATGAATTTCTAACAGTGTATGTGGTTTTTGTTTGGGAAAATACATTCATTTCAATATCTAATGTTAAAAATAAACATCAACCAGTCATCGAATGTACAAAGAATTTTCATACAAATATTCGTACGAATATTCATGCAAACATTCATTTGAAAATCTACTAGCCTTACAGTTCTTAGCTCATCTGTTATCATTTTTTCATGATATCATCAGATATTATTATTATTATTATACAGGATTTATATAGCGCCAACAGTTTGTGCAGCACTTTACAACATGAAGGTAGACATTAGAGTTACAATACAATCTGGTACAAAAGGAAACAGAGGGCTCTGATCATTAGACCTTACAATCTAGGAGGAAGGGTTGAGTGATACAAAAGATAATAGCTGGGGGGGGGATGAGCTGATGGAGGAAGTACAGGTGAAACTCATAAAATTAGAATATCGTGCAAAAGTTCATTTATTTCAGTAATGCAACTTAAAAGGTGAAACTAATATATGAGATAGACTCATTACATGCAAAGAAAGATAGTTCAAGCCGTGATTTGTCATAATTGTGATGATTATGGCTTACAGATCATGAAAACCCCAAATCCACAATCTCAGAAAATTAGAATATTACATGCAATCAATAAAACAAGGATTGTACATAGAACAATATCAGACCTCTGAAAAGTATAAGCATGCATATGTACTCAGTACTTGGTTTGGGCCCCTTTTGCAGCAATTACTGCCTCAATGCGGCGTGGCATGGAAGCTATCAGCCTGTGGCACTGCTGAGGTGTTATGGAAGACCAGGATGCTTCAATAGCGGCCTCCAGCTCTTCTGCATTGTTCGGTCTCATGTATCTCATCTTTCTCTTGGCAATGCCCCATAGATTCTATATGGGGTTCAGGTCAGGCAAGTTTGCTGGCCAATCAAGCACAATAATCCCACGGTCATTGAACCAGGTTTTGGTGCACCGCACCCACACCAAAAACACGCAAGACCCTTTTTTTGGTCCGTACTAGAATCAGATCGCATGGGCATTCACACCTATGCAATCCGATTCTGCACATCGCACCGCGTTTTGTGGACCACTTTCGGGGTTTGTTATCTTAACATAAACACCCACAGCGGTTCGCATGAATGGGGAGCGATTCTGATGTGGTGTTGAATTTGCACAGAAAACGCTGCAAATTCCGTTCCGCATCAGTGTGAACCAGGGCTTCAGCTCACATAAAGGAAGGCTGTTTTCCTGCATTTGATGTTTTTGGAATGTCAATCCGACTGACTTTAATTAAGCAGTATACATGGCAGTATACATGGGCTGCATTTGAATGGCTTTGCCTTGCTTTGGAATGTCCTATTGAGGTACATCTGCACTGCAGGCAAAGCGTGTCATATGCAGCCTTTTCTTGTCAAATGCTATGTCGTCATTTGCATCTGAAAAGCACCATCAGCATTTGAAGGAATGCCAATCAACATGAACCCTTAAACTGGCAGGATCACCAGGCTGAAACAAGCAGAAATTCTACACCAGCTCAAAGAATGGGCTCACTAGAGAAGGTGCAGGTCAAGATGTCACTTACAGTGGAAGTCGGCTCTAAACGTTTATAATCTTATACCCCTTCCCACTCCATTCTAAGTCCTATACTAACTACCCTGTAGAGCAAAAATGGGGGGGGAATGTGGTTCCAGAACCTCCAGTTACTGGCTGCAAGGGGATCTATTGTCACTGAAGCGGATTTATTTTTGTGTGGTGATCTATTGTTGCTGGGGTGGTGGGGGGATCTTTTGTTGATGGAGGTCAATTGTTGCTGGAAGGGATCTATTGTTGAGGGAGGAGTTGCGGTTCTAGAACCTCCAGCGTTGAAAGTATGTAATGGAAAGGAGTGCTGGGGGATCTGTTTTTACTGGCTGCTGGGGGATCTATTGTCACTGAGGGGGGTGTATTTTTGTGTGGTGATCTATTGTTGCTGGGGAGGTCTTTTGTTAGTGGTGGGAGATCTTTTGTTGATGGAGGTCAATTGTTGCTGGAAGGGATCTATTGTTGAGGGAGGAGTTGCGGTTCCAGAACCTCCAGCGTTGAAAGTATGTAATGGAAAGGGGTGCTGGGGGATCTGTTTTTACTGGCTGCTGGGGGATCTATTGTAACTGAGGGGGTGTATTTTTGTGTGGTGATCTATTGTTGCTGGGGAGGTCTTTTGTTAGTGGTGGGGGATCTTTTGTTGATGGAGGTCAATTGTTGCTGGAAGGGATCTATTGTTGAGGGAGGAGTTGCGGTTCCAGATCCTCCAGCGTTGAAAGTATGTAATGGCAAGGGGTGCTGGGGGGATCTGTTTTTACTGGCTGCTGGGGGATCTATTGTCACTGAAGGGGATCTATTTTTGTGTGGTGATCTATTGTTGCTGGGGAGGTCTTTTGTTAGTGGTGGGGGATCTTTTGTTGATGGAGGTCAATTGTTGCTGGAAGGGATCTATTTTTGAGGGAGGAGTTGTGGTTCCAGAACCTCCAGCGTTGAAAGTATGTAATGGCAAGGGGTGCTGGGGGATCTGTTTTTACTGGCTGCTGGGGATCTATTGTCACTGAAGAGGATACATTTTTGTGTGGCGGTCTATTGTTGCTGGGGAGGTCTTTTGTTAGTGGAGGTCAATTGTTACTGGAAGGGATCTATTGTTGAGGGAGGGGTCTATCCTTGCTGGCTGCTGGAGAGTCTATTGATGCTGGTTGCTGGGAGATCTGTTATAGCTGATTGGGGTCTAATGTTGCTGGGGTGGTATTTTGTTTTGGGGGTCCATTGCTGCTGGAGGAATCTATTGTTGCTGGGGGGGTGGTCTAATGCTGCTGGCTGCGGGGGATCTATTGTTCTGCTTTTCTTGTTATCATGAACAAATTCCATACAAATTATTGAGCACCATGAAATGATACTTGGCCCTGTATTCTCCAAAAGGAGTGGTACCGGGAGGTGGATAGGGGGTGCAACCCAGTGGTGTATTTAGGTTTGTGCTGCCCTAGGAAACACAAAAACCGGACGCCACCCTCCCTCCATGGTGAGAGCCTGACATTGACCAACAACACCCCTGCCCTCCACCTTAGGGAGCCTTCCACTAACGCACATTCCCCCTCCCACTCTCTTGGATCCTACCTGGTCTCCATGCTGTATGTGTCCCTTCTGTCCTTTCTTCTGGGGGCAGTGCTGCCCCCCCTGAAAAATGCCGCCTTAGGCAAATGCCTTGTTTGCCTTGTGGTAAATACGCCCCTGGTGCAACCAAGTGAAGGTGCTCAGAGGTGGGTAGGGGGCAGAGACAAGAAGTGACTCAGAAAGGGGAGGTTCCTGCACCTATTTTTTGAGAAAAAAAGTCCTGTCTATATTTATTCACTGGGCTGCCTGGCCCAATCACATGATCGGCCCCCAGCCGGCTTCAGGGGAGACCTAGAATGGAGGTGGGAGCAGGATTAAGATCAGATAGCTTTAGACTGAACTTTAAAATCATATCAAATGTCTCAATTCATTTCAAGGTTAAGTTTTGAAAATGATGAGCTATGAAAATCTAGTGTCCCTGCAGTGCCCCCTACTGTATATTTATAAATTAGGCTGCAGGAATTGTTCCTAGGTAGCTGTATGATGTTCTATTGTACTACATTGTCTGCTATAGGAAATGTAAGGATTTACCATAGAAATAGTTGGTAGAAATGACATGTCTGGGGAGGCCAGCAGTATTTATAGAATATAAGAACTGGCTTGTTACAGTTTCTTGGTGCCTTATTGAAGAGATGTGTTGCAAGAGATAGGGGGAAAGGGGGTGTAAGTAAAAGCCAGCCCAGTTTTCTCCAGTTATGAGGACTTTAATATATTTTAAAAGGGTGGTGTTATCCCTGTGCACAGAAACAAAGAAGGGTGACTAAGTGGTCCACTGAGGTAACATTTTTAGGGTTTTTTATTTTACCATTTTTTTTTTTTAAATTTTAACTTTTTTTTTATGCCTGCTGTATCCAGCATGTTTAAAGCCTAAGTTTAGGTAATTATTTTTTTTTTTAATCCGCACATGTAACATTGTTTACTTCCAATGTGAAGTGTCCCTTGGTGCTGGCTGTCATTGTGGCATTCTGAGTCCCCTGACTGCCTCCCACACCCCGCAGACATAATTTTCTGTGAATTAATACCAACTCTGGACCAGTGACAAGCACTCATCAAGTGTGCCATCTATGGCTGCCCTTTCCACCCCCTTCTCCAATCATAGAAGCTGGACTATAGCTTCCATAAATGAAAAGCGAACTATAAATGGAGGACAGGTAGATGAATGAAAAGTTTGCCTCATCCATTCATAGAAAATGTTTCATTTATAAAAGCTATCTATGAATGGAGGAGGGGCGGAAAAGGTGGATATAGTTGGCACTTTTGATGAGTACCTGTCACAGGTTCAGCGCTGGTATCAGTACCAGGAGATCATGGTTGTTGAGTATGGAACAGGGACAGAGTACTTCAAATTTCCACTGGCACCAGCACAAGGGACACTTTGCATTAAGTATTAAATGCAAGTAACGTCCCTTGTGCTGATTTAAAAAAAAACGTTTTTACCTAAACGTAAGCTTTAACCAGACTCTCCTCCTTCCATGGCACGGTGATCAGTGGTGAGCTGTGGCCCTCAGCACAGAGCATCCCCAATCAGCGTAAAGAGCCAATGATGTTATCAGCTGTGTCCAATCACAGCTCAGCACATGTAAGCAAATGTTGGTTATCAGCATTCCCTTCCCTCAGCACTGTCACGGTCTGAGGAAAGGAAAGCCAATAACCAGCTTTCCTGTGACACGGGACATTTACACTGATAATTGGTACTGATTATCAGTGCCCATTAGTGCAGCCCCATGAGTGCCAATCAGTGTCCACCAGTGCAGCATATCAGTGACCACCAGTGCAGCATATCAATGTCCATCAGTGCAGCATATCAGTGCCCATCAGTGCAGCATATCAGTGTCTATCAGTGCAGCATATTAATGTCCATCAGTGCAGCATATCAGTGTCTATCAGTGCAGCATATTAACTAGTTGCCGACCGCAGATAGCCGAATGACGGCTTCACTGCGGCCGGCCAGTTCTGGGTGGACGTCCCCCCACAACGTGCTCTCCTGCGCGCCCCAGGGGGCGCGCACCCGGCGATCTCCGTGATCACTGTGTCCTACGGACACAGCTGATCACGTGATGTGGTAAAAGGCCGATCCCAGCGGCCTTTTACCACGTGATCAGCGGTGTCCAATGACACGCTGATCACAGGGAAATGCAAGTGCCGGTTCTCGGCTGCACTTTCCTCACGCTGTCAGATCGTGAGGAAAGTACTGCCGAGAACCGGCAGTTGTCACAGCGGGGATCGGCACCGATCATCAGGACACTGATGATCAGTGCCCTGATGATCGGTGCCCAGCAGTGCCACCCGCAAGTTCCGCCCACCTGTGCCCAGCAGTGCGCCCACTAGCTCCGCTCACCTGTGCCCAGCAGATCACCCACCTGTGCCCAGCAGTGTACCCACCTGTGCCCAGCAGTGCACCCACCTGTGCCACTCTGCAGTGTCACACACCTGTGCCCAGAAGTGCCACCTACCTGTGCCCAGAAGTGCCACCCACCTGTGCCCACCCACCTGTGCCCACCAGTGCCACCCACCTGTGCCCACCCACCTGTGCCCACCCACCAGTGCTGCCCACCAGTGCCACCCACCAGTGCAGCCCAGCAGTGCTGCCAGTCAGTGCCACCAGTCAGTGCCCAGGGGTTGTGCCAGTCAGTGCCGCCAGTCAGTGTCCAGCAGTGATGCCAGTCAGTGCCGTCTATCAGTACCCATCATCAGTGTCACCTATCAGTGCCGCCTATCAGTGCTGCATATTAGTGCCGCCTATCCGTGACACCTCATTAGTGCTGTCTATCAGTGCCGCCTATCCGTGCCACCTCATTAGTACTGCCTATCAGTGCCCTTTAGTGCTGTCTATCAGTGCCCATCAGTGCTGCCTATCAGTGCCCATCAGTGCTGCCTCATCAACGCACATCAGTGAAGGAGAAAAAATACCTGTTTGAAAAATTTTATAATAGAAACAAAGAAAAAAAATTTTTTTTCAAATTTTTTGCAATTTTTTTATTTATAGCGCAAAAAGTAAAGTGCCCAGTGGCAATTAAATACCACCAAAAGAAAGCTCTATTTGTGAGAAAAAAATGATCAAAATTTCATATGGGTACAATGTTGCATGACCGCGCAATTGTCAATCAAAGTGCAGCAGCGCTGAAAGCTGAAAATTGGCCTGGTAAGGAAGGGGGTATAAGTGCCTGGTAGGCAAGTGGTTAATGTCCATCAGCGCGGCATATCAGTGTCCATCAGTGCAGCATATTAGTGTCTACCAGCACGGCATACCAGTACCCATCAGCATAGCACATCAGTGTCCATCAGTGCAGCATATCAATGCCCATCAGTGCAGCATATCAGTGTACCAGTGCAGCATATCAGTGTCCACCAGTGCAGCATATCAGTGTCCATCTGTGCAGCATATCAGTGCCCATCAGTGCAGCATATCAGTGTCCATCTGTGCAGCATATCAGTGCCCATTAGTGCAGCATATCAGTGCCCATCAGTGCCGCCGGTCTTTTTTCATTTGTTAAAGAAAAAAAAAACCCCAGTGGTGATTAAATACCACCAAAAGAAATCTCTATCTGTCAAAAAAAATGATAAAAATTTTAATTTGGGTACAGTGTTGCATTTGTCTTTCAAAGTACGACAGCACTGAAATCTGAAAATTGGAGGGGGCAGGAAGGGGGTGAAAGTGCCCGGTATTGAAGTAGTTAAATTCACTACCTCTGCTGTTAGTTCCAAGCATCAACTACATTTTTGGTATAATAATTATGGAGGTTAGCTTCAAATCTTCCTCCTGTTCATTTGATGTCCAGTCCCCAAGTTCTTGAGCTTAATTTTATATTAAAAATACTTCCCTTCTGAACCTTATTCACACCCTTAAGGGCATAGTTAAAAAAAAAAAAGCCTAGAAATTATCCCAGTGAAAGTGCATGTACATTCATTCTGAGTGAATGAGGCAAAAAAACAAACAAACAAACAAATGTTATCAGGCTATTTCTTATGCTGAATGAATGCTTTTCATTGATTTGAATTGAAAAATACCACATGTGGCCACTAGATGGTGATAAAATACTTAGCATGATCAATTGGCCAAATTTAGTATTTTGAATTTTAAATCGATGAAAAATATTTGTCAAGCAGAGAAAAGAGCCTAATATTTTTTGCTCCTCTAATCACACAGAAAGAATGACCTTTCACAGGGAGAACTGCTATGCACTTTGTTTTTATAAATACACTCCTAATGTATTTAGAAGTTTCAATCATGCTCCCTTTTTCGATTCTTTCTTCAGTAATCCTCTGTATTTTGTAAAAAGGCTGTTTGATCCTGTCTTCTTTGATCATTCCCTTCTTCCACAGTTCCCAATCCATCTGCTGATAGAACAGAGCCCTAGGAGGCACTCTGAAAATGCTCAGTTTGGTATGTATTGCTAGAAAGGTTTTTTTTTTGGGGGGGGGGGGGTGCGTGTGGTCAGCACAGGGCCAATTAGCACTGTCCAGACAAAGGGTCAGGGCTTATGCCACATAGGACAGTCAGGGGAGATTGAAAACTCTTCTTACAAGCTTTAACCAGTGCTTGGCCGGACACTGATGGAAGTCACAGGACTGCTGTGACTGTTGATTAGAAAGGGTATTTAGCAGTTTATATTTACTAAAATAATTACACTTCCATGTTGTGTGTACTGTGGGAGACCAGATACAGTGAGTGCAGGGTCCTGGGTTTAGTAACACTTTAAGGTGCACTGTCTTCTTGATTAAAATAATGAGAACTGCCTCAATACAGCATGCCATGCAATGACACAATTCATAGTGTGAATGGGCCCTTCATCATCAGATAATCAGAGATTTTCTGCTCTTCTTTATAACAGTTTCTCTTGTTTTAAATTGTTTTTTTGTAGCTGGAAAACAAAAATATGGACACAAATAAGGCAGCCAGAACACTAATCTTGTTTGCAGGAAAAAATCCTTTACTGTTTTGAAAAAAAACATTTTTCTATCACTATGGCAAAATGTATTCAATTTTACCAGCAGATGGCACTCTTTGTATAGATTATAGCAACACGTATGTTAAAGTGACACTAAACTTACAGTAGAACTAAAGGCAAAACTTTTTTTTCATTTTGGACAGCGTAAGGGAGGGTTATAACACCTATTAGCTTTTTTGTGCCATCTGTGTCCCATAGGGGAGATTTACCTTCACTTCCTGTCCCATAGCCAAAACAGGAAGTGAAAGGAAATCCCTGCAAATTAAGGGAATATATTGGGGCCCCTAGGTCACCAGAACCAGTGTTCCAATTGGAAGATTTCCCCTCTATTACTGTTCTGGGGACAACCCAAAATGTAGGATTTTCTTTTACTTTCACCTTTGATGATAATGGTAAATGGGAATTTCCCTAACAGGGGCTCAGACACCAATAAGAACTAGACAGGTGTTCTAAACCATCTCTGTCCAAAATTAAAAATGTGTTGCCTTTACTTATACTTAAGTATAAGTTTGTATTTTTTGCCTTTAAAAAGCCCCTTTTATAGCTCTCAGCCTCCTTCAGATCTCCAAATTCTTTTTTTATGCATTGATCAGCTTTAATATTAAAAAGTGGCTGTGTTCATTTTCCATGATTCCACTGTATGTAGAAATGTAGTCACTCTCTCTTGCTCCCTTCTGAGACGGACTATAGTGTGTATAGAGCAGTGCATATGACCACAACAATCATGCATTGCTTGTTCCAATCAAATGGAAGTGAGAGGGAAAAGGGGAGGCTTGGGAGCTTATAGAAGATGTTGCAAGGAGGCAGAAAAAGACAGAAAAAATAGATTCTAGCAGTGCTTGACAAATCTCAGGCACCAGGTCGCCGTGGCAATTAGAATTTGCGTCCTGGAACCTGGGATTTTGTCAGCCCATTACCTGGGATTTTGACAGCCTGTACACATGTAGGGGGCCCGGGCACTAAGCACCAACCAACGAGCTGTTGCCTGGTGTTCCGCCACACTAGAAGAGGTGCCAGTTCCTCTAGTCCTACTTAGTGTCTCCATTTAATGCCGGCTCTGTCATCAACCGGGTGATTGCGCAGTAGGTCCTGCACACTCTGGAAAGTACCGGTGTCTTAACCAGAGGGTGATTGTCAGGCTTAGCTGCTTCGCAGCATACTCTATATTAGGAAAAACACAAAAAAGAAGGGTAGCGAAGGGTGACCCGCCGATATATGTATATGGAAAAATCAACTCTACAAACATGTCAAAACTGCCTTGATGCATGTGCTGCCAGGGAGAAAGAAGTCCCATCTGTTATCCCATTTCATAGTTCCTGGGCTCCCCAGGAATCCACCCATAATTATTCAACCTCAAAACACCTACCAGTAAAATACTCCATAGCCATTCAGAGGCCGGGAGGAGGAGGGGTCCTTTCTGACATGGAGGGCTTGTTCACAGATGTCACAGATACCACTGATTGATCAATTACCATCACAAGGGCATCACCCTCTTCTAATTCCCACCCTTAGACCATGTGGATCAAACAAAGCAAAATTCAAAGATGGCCTTCATACCGGAAATGACATCACTGCGTACTCACAATGACGCCATGACGCACATGCGCAGTGACGCAATATAGAAACAGAGTATCTTCACTAACAACAATGGCCAGGCATAAAGGACAGGCAACAAATGTTTCTATCACAAGCCCATATATAGCATCCAAAGGGGACGCAGGCCACACAGAAGTAAGCCACCCTATGCAAAAATAAACAAAAATAAAACAAAAAAACAACAAAAAAAAGTTATTTGTTAATATTGATCTCAATCATCTTGAACCTAAGGCTCCCAATCTAACATCAGAGAGTACCAACAAATATTTCAATCATGGTTGATTATCTCCACTCATGGAGATCCAGAGGCATCATTATTGAAAGAAATTACTCATCATGTCTCTGTCAAAAATGGTGTACAACTAATGGAATCATTTAATCCGTGGGGGGGCGGTGTTATCCATTCTGTAGATCCACCTCACCTCCGTTTGTAGTATGCATTTGTCAAGATCACCCCCACTAATCTGAGGCTGTATTCGGGCCAATGAAAAAAAGTGTCCCTGGGCCTTCCAAGGATCCACTTATAATTTTCCATCATCAAAACACCTACCAGTAAAATACTCCATAGCCAGCCAGAGGCTGGAAGGAGGGGTGTTCCTTTCCCCCATGGAGGGCTTGCTCATAGATGTCAGGCAGAGACATTCTGCAGAAACATTGGCACCTCTTGATAGATGACAAAATCATCAAACACATTATAGATGACCGTCCACGCCTGACTGTTAAACGGGGACGTTCTCTAAGGGATACCTTGGTACAGAGCCATTTTGATAGGATGAAAGGTCAAGATCCATGTGGAACAAGACCTAAGGGGACTTTCAAATGTGGCAACTGTGCTTTCTGTAGACACATACAGGTGACTAAGGATAGAATATTGCCAAGATGTGTCAAATTTCGTTCAAAACATTTTGTCAATTGTGATACAGTAGGGGTGGTATACGTATTACCATGTGCCTGTGAAGCTTTCTATGTAAGACACGTAGAAAATTCTGGCAACGCATTAAAGATCATGTAGCAGATATTAAGGGAGGTCATCTGGAAAGCCTTATCAGGCAACATTTTGCTGAACCACATGCTTACTAAATTGACTCATTACACTTTTTTTCATTGGCCCGAATACAGCCCCAGATTAGTGGGGGTGATCTTGACAAATGCATACTACAAACGG